GGGGCTACGTCGTGGGATTCACGTCGCTCGCGGACCGCGACGGCGCCGTGCCGGGCGGCCTCGTGCTCGACGTCGACGCCGCGGGGAACGTCGCGGCGACGGCGGCGCTGCCGCGCGACGGGAGCTCGTCGGCCTTCGCGCAGAACGCGTACCGCTTCGTGCCCTGGGAGAACATCGCCGGCGAGTCCGCGGCCTCCCCGCTCTCCGGCGGCGCCTGGGAGCTCTACAAGTACGCCTTCGCCGTGGGCCCCGGCGCCGCGCCGCGGGCGCTCGACGTGGCCGGGGCCGTGCTCGGGCCGCCGGAGGCCGTGCTCAACCTCGGCTGCGACGGCCGCAAGGCGTCCGTGGACCTGGCGCCGCACGGGCCCCAGCTCCACTGGGTCGAGGCGCCGCCGACCGTCGACGGCGCGGCGCGCGCCGCGGCGGCCGCGGCGGCCCTCGCGGCGGCCCACGACGACGCGCTGCGCCGCGGGGCGGCCCCCGGGGGCGACCACCTGTCGCTCTTCGTGCCGGACCTCGCGAAACCGCTCGCGGCGCTCGCCGCTTTGGACGCGCCCGTGCTCCGTCGCCGGTCCGAAACCTTCGCCCACGCGGCCTTCGACGTCGAGGGTCATATCTATGAACTCGTGGCGCCGCTCGCGGCCGAACACGACGCCTGGGCGCCCTGGGCGCCGGACGAGTGCGGCGACAAACACGCCATCCTCGAGACGCCCGCGCGGCTTTTAGAGCTCTACGCCGCGGCCGTCGCCGACGCCTCCGACGGCGTCCGCGCCTGGGCGGCGGCCCGGGGCCATTTTCCGCCGCTCCTCGCCGGCGTGACCGTCGCGGTGCCCGCGGTCGCGGACGCGGCCGACGCGCTCGGCGACCTCGCGAAAATCGCGGGCCTCGCGGCGCTCCCGCCGCGCGCGGCCTGCGCCGGCGCGGCCGTCGCGGTGAAGATCGCCAATTCGGACGCGAGAGTGGCCCTGCGCTTCGCGCCGTCGGCGTCGGCGTCGGCCGCGGCCGCGGCGGCCGAATCGGACGCGAGAGGGCTCCGGAGCCGCGACGACTGGGGCGGCTGGTCCCACTGGCTCGACCGCCACGTCGGGCTCAAGTACGTGCCCGGCGGCGACGAGGACGCCGCCTGCGACGTCTCGCGGCGCGTCAGTGCGGCGCTCGAAAGCCGCGCCGTCGCGCAGCGCACCGCCTACGACTTCGGCCCCGCGGGCGAGCTCCACTGGTACGTCGCCTACGGGCCGACGGCCGTCGAGTACCACGTCCGCGACTGCGTCGCCGCGACGACGAACGGCAACGCCGAGGTCTGCATGTGCGCGCCGACGAACAACGACGCGGACTACGCGGCGCTCACCGGCGGGCTCTCGTGCTACGACCCCCCGGCGAACGCGGGCACGACGCGCGGCGTCGACGACGACGGCGCGAGTTAACGGTTATCCCTTACTTCGTGTAGACCTCGTCCAGGTATCTCACAATTTCCGCGCTCTCGAAGAGCGCGACGCCCGTGTTCGGGTCCTTGAGGTAGGGGACCTGGAAGCGGCCCGTCTCTTTGACCATGCGGTCCCGGTTCGGCGAGCCCCGCGAGCAGGGCACGACGACGTGGGGCAGCGTGAGCTCGCAGAGGGATTCCCGTACGGGCTTCACAAACGGGCTCGCCTCGTAGCCCCAGAGCTCGAGGGGCAGCATCTGCTCGTTGTCGTCGCGCGCGTCGTCGCGGCGAACGCCGCAGGGCAGCCCGCGCGCGATCGCCGCGAACGTCGCCGTCGTCGCGGCGAAGGCGCCCCGGAGGGGCCAGAGCGCGAGCGCGTCGTAGGAGTCCTTCGGCGGACCGTAGGCCTCGCGGAGGTACTCGATGATGTCGTCGGACTCGAGCATGCCCTTGTCGCCCGCGTTCGGGTCGACCATGTAGGGCACGGTCATGCGGCCGCTCGTCTCCAGCAGCTCCCGGGCGAAGGCGCCGCCGCGCGCGCCGGGCACGGGGCGGTACTCGACCTCGAGGTCGAAGAGGCAGCAGGCCTCGCGGACCTTGCGGCAGAACGGCGACGACTCGTACTCGTAGATCACGACGGGCTTGGCGGGCCGCGCGGCGGGCAGCACGGAGCTGTCGTCGCGGAATTTGAAGGGCCCGAGCTCGAGGACGTACTCGCCGTCCTTCGGCGCCTCGCCGAGGAGCGTCGCTCCGAAGGCCGCGACGTAGGACGGCCGCCAGCCGAGCACGAAGACGCCCGTGGCGAGGCGCACGGCGAGCGCGGCGCTGCCGCGGAGCAGGCCCGGGATCTGCGCGTTGTCCGTGATGGCGAGCGGCTTGGGCTCCGGCGCCGTGAAGCCCGGCGGCGCCGAGACCTGCGGCCGCCGGCCCGGCAGCTGCAGCGCCGCCGCCGCGGCGATGAGAGAGCAGAGCCGGAGCATGGTTTTATGCGTCCTGCGCACGGAGATGCTTTGCTGGACGGCGGCTGCGACGCGTCGTCGTTGGCTACTCAGCACTGCGACGCGACGTCGCTGGCTTCTCAGCACTGCGCGCGCGTCGTCGCTGGCTCCAGCTCGTCGCAGCGTGTCAGCAAGCCGGTCGATGCAACAAAAAGTGCAAGCCGCTTCAACGTCGCGCCTCGCGATGGCGACGACCGCCGCCAGGACCTGAGACAGGCCGAAGGAGTACACCATGGACCGCCCGCCTCACCCGTTTGACGGGCCGCCGCCAGCGCGGCCGCCGCCGGCGCCGGCGCGGCCGGCGGCGCCGCGGCCGCCCGTGCGCATCGCGCCGGCGCCCTTCGCGCCGCCGGCGCCGCGGCCGCCGCGGCCGCCGGCGCCCCTGGGCGCGCGGTCGCCGCTGCCCGC